AGAGAGAGAGAGAGAGAGAAAAGAAAACCTCTGTCTGTAAGAGAAATATTTATACCTATACATTCTATTAAATATTTATTGAATATCGCAAAGAGATATATCTGAGCAGTAATTCTGTAACGCGTAAGTCTCCAGTGTATTTATGACGATGATAATTAATTTTTATCGCGTACGCGAAATATACATGGAACACATTTGGATTTATATTTTCGCTACTAAATGAGAAATCCTCCTTTGAACTATACAGCAACACTCGAACGAACAGGATTGGAGGGTAAATCGAACAGGTGCGGTGATCAGACATAAGAATAATTGCCTGTTGACAATCGGCGTATCAATTATAGAGTGAATTTTGACTCGTCCCTTCCACCCTGTTCTCTATCATTGTACCTTATTTATTTCTGACTGTGAGTAGTGATGTACTGTCTAGCGTATATATATATTTCACGAGTAACGAGAAGGTTAGCAGCGCTAAATCCTAAGGCAATGATATCTGTCGCGGTATCTATCTGTGTATCGATTAGCTGTGTATGTATTAGCGGTGAGATGTACTACTACTCGCGTGAACATAGTTTCTGTTTTACGTGTCAGCTCGGCCGCTCGTGATTGTACGTAGAGGAAATTGGGGCGCAATCAGACATGCACGTTTATACGACGAGCTACATAAGATATTGAAAGAAAAGAGATTTAAAGCGGATGATACAAGCATAATAATCACGTCGAGACGATCTTAATGAATACACATACGTTGCTTAGCATCAACCCCTTCTTTCGTAGCCAATTTTATCTAAAAGATGTTCATTATCTCTTTTTTAGTCTTTAAAAATAAAACAAACCACTTAATTTTTCTTGTTTTTTTATTTGATTTTAATTTTATCAAAAATTCAATTTTCTTATCTGTTTTCTTATCTATTTGTTCAAGATACAGACCTGAATTACTCATATTGTAAGACTTCTTTTTTTGAAAAAAAAAAACTCTTTTTTTGAAAGATTTCGTAATTTTATAAACTTTATATACATCTCTAAACTTCGTCTACTACTGTCTTTTATTTGACTTTAATTTAGTCTTCTTGTCTGTTCATTGTTCAAGCCTAATACAGACCTAAATTATTTATACTGTTTCAAGGCTTCTTCTTCAAAAAGAGCTTTTGTTTAAAAAGATTTCGCGATTTTATGAACTCTATACACATATTCTGTATATTCTTGGGAATGTTTTTCTAGAAATTATATACCTTCAACAGAAAATGCAGAGAAAAAGACCGAACTCTACATTATTCAAGAAGATTTTGTCATTACTCTTGTCTCGCATCTGATTACGTCTCACTTCTCTCTACACCGCTCCGTTGTTTAGATGAAAAAAAAAGATGTATAATTAACTTGATAATTAACTTGTTTTAAAGACCGTTGCTTGACGGTACGTGGGTAGCAGAGAATCCACGCTTCTTCTACGTGATCGCCGGCGCAACCTACGTGTATTTACCAATTTGGGGTCCCATGCAGATGGAATTTGTAGACAAGACATTGCCGCACGCAGAGTTTCGATACTCGGACATGCAAAACGATATTGGATTGTTCAGGGTGACTGTTTATGCCGTGTATATAATTCTGTGTCGATAATAAAGAGAGTAAACCTTGTAACTATCGTGTGTCTGGCCTCGCACTGTCATCTCTGCTCCGCTCTTACAGCTGAAGAGACCTCTTTACAGGAACGCGTACGTACAATATGTCGCACTTCCTCCGGAATACATCGCGAATATGTTCCAGATATACACGGAGAATTGCGTCGCCGTTGGATGGGGTCGACATATACCTGATTCAGACGTAAGCTAGTAGCTAGCCATTACAGTGTTTTATTTATTACAGCGATACAAATGGGGATAGTATATTCTGATGAAAGCACTTTGTATTTCTTTCTTTTTGTATGAAATGTTCCCAAAAGAGGTGGGATATCCGAATATTTTTTTTTCCTCTCGCAGAGTCTAGAGAGTATAGCCTATCCTGAAATAATGATAAAGCCATTTCAGACTCCGTTTAAAGCGGACCTGTTTTTGTCAGTTATTTCTTCTCGAGAATCTGTTGTCGTGTTTTCTTTTAAAAGAAATTTGTTTTAATTAATAATTCCGAAAGCATCGGAGAGTTTTAGCGGAAGAAGCTGTATGACGAAAGAATAACTTATTTCTTTGATAATTTATTTATTTTCATGTGACTCGTTATTAGAAGGAAACTGGCACGTATTTGCGACATGTCCAAATTCCATTAATCTCACCCGAGGAATGCCCTATGCTGAATGTGCATAAAGAAAAGCAATTATGCGCGGGACTTCCAGAAGGTGGTCGCGATGCCTGTCAGGTTTTGTATTAAATTTTGTAAATATATTATATTCTTATGTGAGGCTTTCGCGGGTATTTCTTTCGTTATAGTGGCTTGCGGATTACCACCGTGTCATCCACCATGATATTAACAATGATTCACAGTGGTAACCCGCAAGTTATTATATAATTCTGTATACGTATATATAAAGCTTTTCTTTCGTAATGGCAGTAATATGTTTCTTTATCTCTTTAACTCATAATCTCTGAATTAACAATAAATCGTATTATTTTGTGCAACTGAACAAAAGTCTTAGGAAAACTACATTAGTATTCTCCTTTGGAGCTGTGTTTTCTTTTTATTACTTTTTCATTTGGCATTAGAATTCTATGCCACGTATATCGAATTTTCAGGGTGACAGCGGTGGACCATTGCTGTGTAACGGAACGCAAGTCGGTATTGTCTCTTGGGGCGAGGGATGTGCTCGTCCGAATTCGCCGGGCGTTTATTCTCGCGTGGATTTTTATCTGGAATGGTTGAACGAGACTATTGTTCAAAATAGAGCTCCGAAATATGAGTTACAAAATACGATTATTTTTACATTTTATTGCTTGTATGCTTTGTTAACATGCTGATCACCATATGCAGAAGATAACAAAAAAAACAATAATTTTGTATTTAGCAATATGTAACTATTTATGTATTATTTAAGTTCATTGAAGATCCTGAATAAAAAAAGTCATTTTATAATTAAATACGTCGAATTATTAATTTGTATGCAAACGATTTAGTCATTAACTTTCATATCTCAAAGTCACTTTAGAAAATTATTTCTTGCCACCTTGAGAAATTATTTTTCTAGAATCTGTTATTTAGTAAGGGGCAGAAAAGGATTTCGTTCGTGTCATTAAGATCACGATAAGATTAAGATTCCTGCTGATAAGAGAAGATGTTTTACCACCATTTCCTCCATTCCTTTTGATATGTATCTTCATACTGTGGGAGGACATGCATCTCAGAGCTGTCATGAGCGCCATCGCACTGCAATGTTTTCAGGTTTACTCTAGATTCGCCTCGTATCTTCTTCTTGTAATCTTTTAATTTCCCTTCTCTTTTCCTTATTTCCTCTTCAACTACTTGCCTTCCCTCATTCCCATTCCTTTTTTATCCTAATCTATTTTCTTTTACCTTTTCTTTACTTCACCATTCTCTCCTTCCTTCTCTGTCTCCTACCTCTCCTTTTTCTTCTTCTTTTTCCTCTTCTTTCTTTTGTGGGCTAATGTCTATTTATAAAGACATGCGTACCTTATGCAAAATGTGACGCGCAGATAATGTTATATTTATGCGCGAATATAATATTATATTTATAGAAAATCAAAGGAAAGTCTGCGGGACGAAGAAAAGTAAATTTCCGGCAATGACGTACAACAAGTTCTAAATGCATCCTTCTTGCGGTCGTTCTCCTCGTCTCTCACTCGAGAATGAACAGTTACGAGTGAAAGTGATCTGGCCTGGCAAACGCACGCATATCTTGCTCCGAACAGTCTACAGTCTGCAACCAAACGGATCGGTATCAATACTCTGTGTTAGCTACGTGTAATTAGCGATATCGGGATGATTAAGAAACACGCATTTTCGGCAACAGCATGACCGCTAGCTAAAATTCGATGTTCTCCGATTATCTAAAATAAATATAATACAAAAGGAACACGAAAAATATCGCTATCACTGTTATCGCGAGTTATATAAAAGACAGATTAATCACAGTATACGTTGACATTAGGGATTCGTAACGTCTGTCAATTATTGCTAATTCAAGTCGCGTTAAGTAAAGTGGTGAACTATATAAAATTCAAGAACACGCTAAATTTGAGGAGGAAACGGCATGACAATCCGCAGTTTTACATCGAATGCCGAATTTTAGCATTTACCGTATTCGAAGTACGGTATTCTCCAATTCGTAATTGTAGATATTCCTTAATTCGAAATACCGTTGCAGATTGTTCAGAATATTAAATATAACGCAAACAGAAAATTTTTGCGTATTACAATGTCCTTGAACAACGTGGCATTTCTACTCGCGATTCTGCTTTTTGGAATTTATGATATTCACGGTGAGTGTGCTACACAAGTTATATTTACTTAATGATTATTAATGATTAATTGGTATATTATATTTATGTAATAATGGCAAATATCATATATTATACAATATTACATGCGGTTAATAATATTAATTCTCGCGTTTACATATTAACAAGCGAAAGTAAAAGCCGGCATGCCACACAATGGGGACGCGACATTTTCATAAGGATCGCAGTGTACATACAGAGTGTCCCAAAAGTACCATTTATCATCGCTTTATTACAAGTTCTTTGATTAATATCATTGATGAATTTTTTTTTTATTGAGAATGCTTGAATATACCCTTTTCCATTTGTCATTGATATTAAATATATAATCGGAAATAAAAAAAAACAATGTTATCAATTGATTTAATAGAATTTCTTTTTAAAATTAAATACAATATATAAATTAATATTATCTAAAAGAGGATTATTTTCTGAAATAAAACCTTGAAATACTCGTTTCAACACAAAATGATAATTCATAATTTTCAAAAAAACTTTATTGTTTATATTTATGTATTAATATAACGCATTTATTGTATATATAAGACAAAAATTTTCATTTTATTTGTCTATAATGCATTTTTATTATTATACATTTTTATTATTATACATTCATTAAAAAACTTAATTACAACTGTCTTTAAAATAATTATATTAACTTTCTAAGTTTTTGAAAAATAAAAATTTTTGAGTAATGTTTTTTAAAATTAATCTGTTTGATTTAATTATATTAATTTTAATATGTTCTTTTACAGGACTTTTAAGAATAAAACATGACAATGTTGTTGTTTGTTATGTCGCATCCTGGGCAGCATATAGACAAGGAAATGGAGCATTCTCTTTAGAAAATCTCCGTCCGGAACACTGTACACATTTAATTTACGCGTTTGCCGGTTTAAATGCTTCCAATTGGACGATTAGAAGTCTCGATCCTTGGGCAGATATGGAAAAAGATGGTAACCTTGATGTGAATTCAAGTTTATATCAAGTTTTATAATCATTTTAAAAAGTTAATTAATCATGAAGATATAAATAATTTAAAATTATTAATGTGAAAGACCAAGCAATATATTATAAGTAATTTATTTCTTATTATTTATTACTAACTATATTTATTTATTATTACTTAATATATTTGATATAAAACTATTTAATTTAAATTATTAAATTATTAAATTATTAAATTATTAAATTATTAAATTAATTTAAATTATTAAAAAAATAAAGCAATTATAAATAATTAATACATTTACAATCCAAAAATGCTGATTAATTATTGAGTCTAGTTAGTTTTATTAATTTTATATTAAATTCCTATACAAAATTTATAAATATGATTAAAAAATATTTGAATGAACATAGGAATAGGCAATTACAAGAAAATGACAGCGCTTCGCCATCGAGGCCTCAAAGTATCACTCGGCATCGGCGGATGGAATGAAGGCAGTAGAAACTATTCGATGATGGCTTCATCATCAGAAAGTAGAAGAACTTTCATCGCCAGCACTGTTGAATTTCTCAAGTATGTAATATATTTGTAATATATGTAATTTTTTTTAAAGAATATCTTTCTACTATAAAAAACCAATTTTTCCAAAAAAATCCTTTTGCTCGAAAAATTGATATTGATATTGATCCAATAAGATTACATAAAGCTAAGTTTAATTTATTTATATACTTTGTATTATACTGTTGTTTGGATTTATTGTACATGATATTTGACATTAAAAAAAAATAATTTTGTCGCAGGATGTACGGATTTGATGGGTTGGATCTCGATTGGGAGTTCCCTGGAAGTCGTGGTGGTGCGCCATATGATAAACAGAATTTTGTCAGCCTCGTAAAGGTAGAAATATTAGATTTTATTTCTTTCATTGATAAAAGAGATAAACTTGTTTTTTCTGCGATAGGAATTGAAGGATGCCTTTAGAGAACATCAGTATTTATTAACTGCAGCAATAAGCGCTGACAAGTCCACTATCAATATAGCATACGATATTCCTGAAATCTCTAAATATTTGGATTACATTCACGTAATGGCATACGATTATCACGGTGCATGGAACAAACGAGTTCTTCCAAATTCACCATTACGAAGCAAGGATCAATTAAATGTGGTAAGAAATAATTCCTCTTTAAAAATATTAATACACATTGTACATGGTACACAGACATGTTACAATTAAGAATAAATGGTTGTTTAGAGATATCACATTACATGTTAAAAATATGATTAAGCAAATTAATAAAACAACTATAAATTTAACAATTTTAAATTTATATTGCTTTTCATAATATATATTTATATAATAATTAAATTAAGGATCTGAATTTTAAGGAAATATCCAAGAGAAATCAGAAATTAAACAGAAAAAAATAAGAATATAAAGGAAAATTTAAAATTTCTTTAATCAAGATTAATTAATTTCGAAGACAGATTTTTAAAAAATCTCTTTTCAATAAGATTTTTATATGTGGAATATAATATTATTGTATTCCCTTTTTCATAAATCTTAAAACTTGCTTTCTATAAATTTAGAACAAAATATTGACAAAAAATTATTTTTTAAATTATATTAATATTCATATTTTATATAATATTAATATTCATCTTAACATTTACACAAATGTTATACAGTATAAAGCATAGTGGCATAATTATATAATCATATAGTATTGATTGCATCTCTAACATCTAGGAAGATACTATTACATATTTATTGCAACAAGGAGCTCCAGCCAAAAAATTAGTCTTAGGGTTGGCGATGTATGGAAGAACATTCGTTCTTACAAGTGTGCCAGAAACGTCTAAAATAAATCCAATTGGTCTGCCTAGTCTGGATATTGGATTCAAAGGGCCTTATACGGGTGAAGATGGCTTTATGGGATTCAACGAGGTATTTAACTATTTATACAGTTTTATATTAGTCTTAGTTTACTGCTTTTTTCATAATTTACATATACATTATTGATAACAAAAAATTATCTAATTTCGTTTTTCTCTAATTATGATCTTACTCAAAACACGCAGCGGTTGCTCAATATATAATATATAAATTATTTATAAATTATACATTTCTGTGCAGATTTGCGAGGCGTTGGTATTATATCCGCAAGAATGGATAACTGGATGGGATAACGAGAGTAGTACAGCATACGCAATTAAAAAGGACCAAGTTGTAGTTTATGATGATCATAAAGCAATGATAGCCAAGGTACCTCTTCTATATTTTTTATTAAAAACTGTTTTTTTTCTTGATTTTCGATTATATGTATAATCTACATACTTAGAAATGAATATACAAATTTCATATTTTTAAATACAGAATTATATAGTATATAAGTTATAATTATATAGTATATAAGAAGTATATAAGTTTTGAGTATTTTAAACTTTCACATGTTTCTATTAATAAGAATAATTTTTTCCCTAATATTCCGTAATTGTTTAAAATTACGGCATAAAATATTGAGAAAAGTCTGTTACTTTTTCAATATTCTTGCTTCATTGTAGAGCGTCTTCAAAAATTAAGGTAGAATCAACATTAATATATATTAGCTTAATTGCACTTTGTGTTTTATCTTTATCCGTGCAAACTTAAGTGTCTGAAGAAAATTTCGACGTTAATTAACTCTACTGTTAATGAACTTCTTTTAGGTTGAATACGCAAAGAGGCAGAAGCTAGCGGGTGTTATGGTATGGAGCATCGACACGGATGACTTCCGTGGCAAATGCACATTGCTGCATGGTGACATGGCTTTGCTTGATGGACATAATTATCCTTTAATGAAATCTATCAACACAGCCTTGGCAAACAATACGATACCACCCGTAGAGAAACCACAGCCAAGTTCATCGTCCGTGCAATTGCTCTCAAACAGTGTGTTCGCATTATCAATGATCACGATGATTTACCTTTCTCGTTAATTAAATGTACGAATTATCAATATAAATACAATTAATGAATAATTAACAATTGATAGCACAATCGATAACTGATAAAAATTGTTAGAACGGCTTAACGCTCGTTCGTTTGTTCCTTTTATCGATATATAGATTATAAAAATGTAATATTAATTTAAAATATAAAAGTTTTAT